CCCTATATTTATTTGTATTCAGTTTGCCAAAATTTTGTTTAGCTATTTTTAAAAGACTATTTTAATGTAGTTGTAGGTTCACAGTAGCATTGAGAGTAAGGTACAGAGATTGTCCATGTACTTCCTGTCCCCAGACACAGATAGCCTTCCCCAATATCAGTATCACTCACTAGGGTGGTACAGTATATGACTGATGAACCAAAATGGCATGTCATAATCATCCAAAGTTCATAGTTTAGATTAGTGTGCACTTTTGGTGTTGTACATTCTGTAGGTTTGGAAATTGTATAAAGTATTTTTATGGCTCTTAAACTCCTTTATGTTTCACCTATCTGCCCTTTCCTGTCCTCCTTAACCCCAGGCAACCACTGATCTTTTTACAGTATCCATAGTGTTGCCTTTTTGAGGATGTCGTATGATTTCCTGTATGAGGAAATCATACAGTGCATAGCTTTCAGATTGGCGTCTTTCACTTAGTAATATGCATTTATGTTTCCATCACATCTTCTCATAAGCTGACACCTCATTTCTGTTTGGCATTGAATAGTAGTTTGTTGTATGACTGTACCAGATGCTCTTCATTCGCCTATTGCAGGATATCTTGGTTGCTTCAAAAACTGGTTAAATTTTTTGTCAACGTTCATGAGGAAGTTTTCTTTTTTGCAATATCATTTGGCTCAGGGTAATACTAGCATTGTAGATTGAGCTGTGTTGTATTTCTCCTCTTTATATTTGTGGGGAGATGTTGTGTAAAATTATATTATGTCTTCCTAAAATGTTTGATAGAATTCACCAGCATAGCTGTCTGGGCTTGGAGTTTCTCAACTTTATTTTCTTTTGTAGATATAGGGTGATTTGGGTTATCTGTTTCTTCTTGATTGAGCTTTGGTGATTTTTATATTTCAAGGAACGTGTCCATTTAACCTACGTTGTCATGGTTAGTTACATAAAACTCAAACTATTATCTTTCTATTCTTTTAATATCTGTAGAATTTATAAAAATGTCACATTGGGCTGGCATGGTGGCTCATGCCTGTAATCCGAGCACGTTGGGAGGCCAAGGTGGTGGATCACCTGAGGTCAGGACTTTGAGATCAGCCTGGCCAACATGGTGAGACCCCATCTCTTGTAGAAATGCAAAAATTAGCTGGGCATGGTGGTGGGCACCTGTAATCCCAGCTGCTCGGGAGGCTGAAGCAGGAGAATCACTGGAACCTGGGAGGCAGAGGTTGCAGTTAGTGGAGAGTGTACTATTGCACTCCAACCTGGGCAACAGAGTGAGACTCTGTTTCCAAAAAAACCCCACATATTTCTGAAATTAGTAATTTGTTCTTTTTATTTTTTGTATGATCAGCCTGGTTAGATCGAGGTTTGTCACTTTCATTGACCTCCTCAAAATGTTTGGTTTCATTGATTTTCCCTATTATTTCTCTGTTTTACTGGTTTCGTCTTTGATGTCATCATGTTTGGCCTGCTATCACAAAACACCAAAGACTGGGTAGCTTAAAACAACAGAAACTGATTTGTTACATTCTTGGAGGCTGCAAAGTCCAAGATCCAGGTGCCAGGATATTTAGTGTCTGGTGAGGGACCAATTCTTTGTTTCTAGGTTTCCTTTTTTCCCCTGTGTGCTACATATGGCAAAAGGGGTGAATGAGCTCTCTGGGCTCTCTTAGATAAGGGCACTAATCCCATTCATAAGGACTTGGGTTCCATGAGGTAGTCGCCTCCACAAAGCAGCAGTTTCTAATAACATCACCTCTGTGATTATGTTTCAACATAGGAGTTTTGGGAGGACACAAATGTTCAGACCATAGCAGATGTTTGTTATATAATTTCCTCTGCTTCTTTTGGGTTTAATTTGCTCTCTCTCTCTTTTTGAAATTTGTTCTTTTATACTTTCTTAAGATAGAAGTGAAGGCCATTGATTTGAGGGTCTTCCAGTATAGACATTCAGTGCTAACTTTTTATTTAAGTACTGTTGTAGCTATATTCTACAAATTGTGTTGTATAGAATTTTCTTTCTTTCTTTTCTTTTTTTTTTTTTGAGACAGTCTTGGTCTGTTACCCAGGCTGGAGTGCAGTGGCACAATCTTGGCTCACTGCAACCTCTGCCTCCTGGGTTCAAGCAATTCTCCTGCCTCAGCCTCCTGAGTAGCTAGGATTACAGGTGTGTGCCACCTGCCTAGCTAATTTTTGTATTTTTAGATGGGGTTTCACCATGTTGGTCAGGCTGGCCTCAAACTCCTGACCTCATGATCCACCTGCCTCGGTCCTCCAAGTGCTGGGATTGCAGGCATGAGCCACCGTGCCCAGGCAGTATTTTCATTTTTATTCAGTTCAAAATAGTTTTTAATTTCTCTTTGCATCACCTCTTTGACCTAGGGTTATTTAGATGTGTGTTACTTTGTTTCCAAATTTTTGAGTATTTTCATGAGATATTTTGTTATTGATTTCTAATTTGATTCATTTGTGGTCAGGGGTCATACATTATATGACTTAAATCCATTGACTTAATTCCTTTATGAAGATTTATTGTATGGCCTAGAATATGGTCTGTTTTACTAAGTGTTCTTGAGAAACACAGTGTTCTTGAAGAATACTGTCATCTTGCTGATTTTCTGCCTCCTTTTTCTATCATGTATTGAGTAAGCAATATTGAAATCTCAGACTCTACCTGTGAATTTGTCAATTTCTTTTATCAGTTTTTTTGCCTATGTTTTTGATGCTGTTATGTTACTAGTACATAAACATTTAGGATTATGTGTTCTTGATTAATTGAACATTTTATCATTATGAAATGATGTTGTTTATAGCTAGTAATATTGTTTGCTGTGAAATCTATGCTGATATTACCATAACTATTCCTGCTTAGTTTTCTTTTGTCAATTGTTTGTGTGGTATATATTTTTCCTTCTTTTAACCAATTTGCATTTTTACATATAAAATGTGTTTCTTATAGGTAGCATGAAGTAGGATTTGCTTTTGATAGAGTTTAACAATCTGTCTTTTAATTTAGGTTTTAAGGCCAGTTTTATTTATAATGTGATTATTGATATATTAATAGTTAAGTTTATCTGTCATCATGCTGTTTGATTTTCATTAGTTCCAGCTGTTCTTTTTTCCCTTCTTTTTCTGCTTTCTTTTCAATTAGTTATATAACTTCTATGATTTAGTTTTCTCTCTCTTTTATTGGCTTATTGGCTATAACTCTTCTTTTGCTATCTTGGTGGTTGCATTACAATTTGTACTGTATGATTTTAACTTATCACAGCTCACCTTGAGGCAATATTATGTCATATCATATATAGCATAAGAAAATTAGAGTAGTATACTTTCATCTCCTGTCTCCCAGCCAGATTTGTGAGATTATAGTTTTCATTAAGTTTAGAAGGTTTCTGGCCATTTTATCTTTATGATTTGTCTTTCTACCTTTCTCTTTGGGGATTTATATATTATTGCTTAAAGTTTTCTCATAGTTCTCTGATGTCTCCAGTTTTTAAATCTTCTTTTTTTGTGATATCTAGTCTGTATTTACTTCCACTCAGTGTTGTTTTCAGTTCTGACTTTTCTTTTTTGAGACAAATTTCGCTCTGTTGCCCAGGTTGGAGTGCAGTAGATCGATCACCACTCACTCCAACCTCTGCCTCCCAGGTTCAAGCAATACTCCTGCATCAACCTCCTGAGAAGCTGCAGTTATGGGTGTCTACCACGATGCCCAACTAATTTCTTTGTATTTTTATTAGAGAGGGGGTTTCATCGTGTTGGTCAGGCTGGTCTTGGACTCCTGACCTGAAGTGATTTGCCTGTCTCAGCCTTCCAACGTGCTGGGATTACAGGTATGAGCCACCGTAACTGACCTAGTCTTAACTTTTTAATTTGAATTCCTACTAGTGCAGTTTGCTTTCAAAAAATACCTTCCATGCTTCTGCTTGAGATTTATTTGTGGACACAGTTGACTTACTTATAAACAACCCGATCTTTCTGGTCTTGCATTATGATTTGGGCTAACTTTCCACTCCTGAGGTAAGGTGTTTCTGATAACACTATTCTTTATTTTGTGAATTTTTTCCAGTATCAGTCATAGGAATGGACAGTCTTCCTGGTATATTGTGAGCAACAGACACTATTTCTTCTAATTTTTTAAGAAAATATTTCCCTTTTCTCAAGTAGTTTCCTAGCACACATGTAGTGTTCATTACTCTGTTAAATAAATACCCAAGGGGGTATTTTTGCAGATCTCCAGTGTTCTTTTCCTGTACTGCTGTCATCTTTCCAGTGTTCTGTTTTGTGGTTTCTGTCTACCTCGGTTTTTTGAGACTCTTGGCTTCATTGTGCCAACTCAAGGAATCTGGTGGACTGCACCTCAGTTTTTTTTCTCCTGATATGGTGGCCTGGAAACTTTGTCAAGTTAGGGAGCTGGGGTGTTGGTAAGGCTTACTTCATTTGTTTCCTGTCTTACAGGGATTGTCTTCATTACATAAAGTCCATGTTCTCCAAAATCACTGTAGTATGTATTTTGTCTTTTTTGTTTTTGTTTCAGACAAGAAGGTAAATCAGTATCTGCTGCTCCATTGTGGCCAGAAGAGACTGCAGCAGAGCTTCAGCACCTTCCATACTGGCTGGAATATTTCTCTACATCTTTTACTTAACTGCTTCCTTTTGTCCTTCATTACTCAATGTAGCCATCTCTTTTCCAGGGAAATCTTCCTGAGCCCAGTATATATCAAATTCAATGTGATCGTAGAACTGTTTTCTTGCAGCATCCATCTGAATTTGTAATTTCACTTTTATCGTCCTTGTTCTTCAGTACACTTAAAATTAAACAAGAGCAGAGTTATTGTTTTTTTCTCTGCAAAGCTCAGTAGAATGTCTCCCACATGGTAGGAAATCAGTGCATATTTGTTTGGTGTATGGATGGGTGAATGTTAAAATGCACAGGACTTTATATCCAAAAAGTACTCATATATTTTATTTCTACCTTATTTTCCCCGATGCAGATTCTGCCAGCCTGTCAAAAATCCAGGATGCAGTTCTTTCCGATGAACACTTACTAGAACTTCAAAATAATCAGTGGGAACAACTTACCATAGAAATGGAGCAAATGGAAAATATGATTCATGTACTAGAGAAGGAGCTATCTGAAACAAAGGAAGCACAATTACAGTTACTGCATCAAAAAGGTGAATTTGAGCAAGAACTCTCCACTTTGAGGTATGATATTCTAGTTTAAAAATATTTTAGCTTTTTATTTTATACTAAAGATATATGAGAATTGTTGTGATTGCTGACTTTCTGGGGCTTAATGGGAAAAAATGTCTTGGTCTTGTGGAGTATGAAAATTTTGGAAATAATATAACAAATTCTTCATTGTGATTCTTCTAATAATTGCATATTCTTTTATATTATGATTTTAATGGCTATATAGAAGTCCACCAATCAGAAATCTCATAATTTAACAAATTGTGGAGTTTTAAATTCTTTTGTGTTAGAATTAATGCTGCAAGGAACATCTTTTATTATTATTAACATTATTACCATTACCATTATTAGACACTATTATTAGACATTATTATTAGGGTTTTGCTCTGTCACTGAGGCTAGAGTGCAGTGGTGCAATCATAGCTCACTACAGCTTTGAACTTTTGGGCTCAAGGGATCCTTGCACCTCAGTTTTTTAAATAGCTAGAAGTATAGGTACACACTCCCATGCCTGGCTAACTTTTTAAACTTTTCATCAAGACAAGGTCTCACTATGTTGCCCAGGATGACCTCCAACTCCTGACCTCCAACAATCCTCCTGCCTGAGCCTTTCAAAGCATTGGGATTAAAGGCATGAGCCATTGCACCCAGTCCAGAACATCTTTTCTATAAATTATTTTCTAGATTTTGAATTATTTACTTTAAATAAAGTCTTCAATATTTTTTATTTAAAATGTGGAAACTTTTTTAAAAAGTCCTTGGATCAATATTTCTAAATTGTCCTCAGGAATATTTGTATTTAATGCATGCTGGGGTTAATACCTAGGTGATGGATTGATAGATGCAGCAAAGCACCATGGCACACGTTTACCTATGAAAGAAACCTGCACACTCTGCACATGTATTCCAGAAATTAAAAATTAAAATTAAAAAATAATATTTGTATTAATTTACAGTTCAACCGACAGAGCATGAAATGGCCATTTGTCTCAAATCAGAATACTTTTTAAAAAACTTTTTACAATTTTGTTCTTCTTTTTACTCCGTGTTTAGATTTACTTATTTCTATTTCAGCAGCTTTAGGGGTACAAGTTACATGGATGAATTGTATAGTGGCGAAGTCTGGGATTTGAGTGTACCCATCACCCAATAGGTAGTTTTGATTGCTCATTTTCCTTCTTTTCTTGCTTCTTCTGAGTTTCTGATGTCATTACACCACTCTGTTCGCCTTTACAGTCCCATATCACAGCTCCCACTTATAAAAGAGCATGTGGTATTTGTTGTTTCATTCCAGGGTTACTTTACTTAGAATAATGGCCTCTAATTATCCAGGTGTCTGCAAAAGACATTGTATTATTATTCTTTACAGCTGAGCAATATTCTGTGGTATGGGTGCATACACACACACACACACACACACACACACACACACACACACACACACATGCATATATGTATAGATACCACATTTTCTTTATTCTAGACACCAGTTGGATACTGGTTGATTCTATATCTTCATCTATTGTGAATTGTGCTGCAGTAAACATATGTATGCAAGTGTTTTTTTGATATAATGATTTATTTTATTTTGGGTAGATATCCAGAAATGAGAATGCTGGATAGAATGGTAGGATGTAACTTTATGAGTTCTTTGATGAATCTCTGTACTGTTTTCCATAGATTTTGTACTAACTTGGATTCCTACGAACAGTGTATAACTGTTCTCTTTTTGTCACATCCACACCAATATCTATTGTTTTTTGATTTTTAATAATCCCAGTTTGGCTACAATGAGGTGATGTCTCATTTTGTTTCATTTTACATTTCCCTCGTAAGTGATGTTTAGCGAGTTTTATATGCTTGTTCACCATTTGTATATCTTCTTTTGAGAAATGTCTATTCATGATATTTGCCCACTTTTTAATGGAATTATTTGTATTTTTCCTGCTGATTGGTTTGAGTTTCTTGTAGATTATGAATATTAGTCCTCTGTGAGATTCATAGTTTGCAAATATTTTTTCTCATTCCATAGGTTGTTGGTTTACTCTGATGATTATTTCTTTTTTTTTTCTTATTGGATTTTAGGTTTTGGGGTACATGAGCAGAGCATGCAAGACAGTTGTGTAGGTACACACATGGCAGTGTGCTTTGCTTTTCTTCTCCCCTTCACCCACATTTGGCATTTCTCCCCAGGCTATCCCTTCCCACCTCCCCCTCCCACTGGCCCTCCCCTTTTCCCCCCAATAGACCCCAGTGTTTAGTACTCCCCTTTCTGTTTCCATGTGTTCTTATTTTTCATCACCCACCTATGAGTGAGAATATGCGGTGTTTCATTTTCTGTTCTTGTGTCAGTTTGCTGAGGATGATGTTCTCCAGATTCATCCATGTCCCTACAAACGACACAAACTCATCATTTCTGATTGCTGCATAATATTCCATGGTGTATATGTGCCACATTTTTCCTTATTTCTTTTGCTGTGCTGAAGCTTTTTAGTTTCATTAGGTTTTATTTATTTATTTACTTTCATTTTTGTTGCATTTGCTTTTAGGGTCTTCCCCATAAATTCTTTGCCTGGCCAGTGTTTTCAGGTCTTAGGTTTAGGCCTTTAATCTATCTTGAATTAATTTTTGTATATGGTTAGAGATAGAGATCCAGTTTCATTCTTTTTCCTGTGGCTATCTTTTTTTCCAGCACCATTTATTGAATAACATGTACTTCCTCTAGCATATTTTTGTGTATCATTTCTCAAAGATCATTTGCTTGTAAGTGGCTTTATTTCTGACTTGTGTATTCTACTCCATTGATCTGTGTATCTACTTTTATACCAGTATCATGCCATTTTTGTTTCTGTAGCCTTAGAGTATGATTTGAAGTCAGGTAATGTGATGCCAACATATTTGTTCCTCTTGCTTGGTATGTCTATTGTTATTCAGGCTCTTTCACGGCTCTACATAAATGTCAGCATTTTTAAATGATTCTATGAAGAATGACATTGGTAGTTTGATAGGAATTGTATGGAATCTGTAGACTGCTTTGGGCACTCTAGTCATTTTTACAATATCAGTTCTTTCAGTCCATGAACATAGGATGTATTTTCATTTGTGTCATCTATTATTTCTTCAGTGGTGTTTTCCAGTTATCCTTATATAGATCACTCTACTCCCTCATTAAGTATATTCCTAGGCATTTTACACTTTTGCAACCATTGTAAAAGGGATTGGGTTCTTGAAATTACTCTCAGCTTTGTTGTAGTTGGTGTATAGTGGTGATACTGATTGATATTCATTTATTTTGTAAACTCTGAGATTTTACTGAATTCATTTATCAAACCTAGGAGTGTTGGCCAGGCATGATGGCTCATGCCTGTAATCCCAGAACTTTGGGAGGCCAAACCGGGTGGATCACCTGATGTCAAGAGTTCGAGACTGTGCTGACCAACGTGGAGAAACCCCGTCTCTACTAAAAATACAAAATTAGCTGCATGTGATGGTGCGTGCCTGTAATTCCAGCTACTAGTGATGCTGAGGCAGGAGAATTGATTGAACCCAGGAGGCGGAGGTTGCAGCGAGCCGAGATCACACCATTGCAATCTAGGCTGGGCAACAACAGGGATTCTGTCTAAAAAGTATCTAGGAGTATTTAGTAGGAGTTTTTATGGTTTTCTAGGTATAAGACAATATCATTGGGGAAGAGATAGTTTTAATTCCTTTTTTCCAGTTTGGGTGCTCTTTATTTCTCTTGCCCAGTTGCTTTGCCTGGGAATTCCTAGTTTTATTCTTAGCTTTCATGAAATAAAAAGTAAAAGGAAAGTGATTAATGATTAATTTATTTTACATCCGTCATACCAGTTAACATTAATTCTGTTCTACATTAAAATACATATTGTTCTTCATTGCTTAAATATTAGAGCATGTCTTGTTCCAAAAGGAATTTCTGAGTTGTTTATAAAATAGATAGGTATCAAGAATATAAGTGGAAAGTGTTTCCAGAAAATAAATATAAAAAGTATGGGCTAACACAGGGGCTTCCAATCCCCAGGCCACAGACTAGTACCAATCCCTGGTCTGTTAGGAACTGGACCACACAGCAGGAGGTTAGTGGCAGGTGAGAAATAAAGGTTCATTAGTGTTTACAACCACTTCCCTTCACTTGCATTACTGCCTGAGCTCTTCCTCCTGTCAGATCAGTGGTGGCATTGGATTGTCCTAAGAGTGTCACCCTACCCTGCTGTAAGCTATCCATGCAGGGGATCTAGGTTGTGTTCTCCTTATGAGAATCTAATGCCTGATAATCTGTCACTGTCTCCTATCACCTCCAGATGGAACCATGTAGCTACAGGAAAACAAGCTCATGGCTCCCACTGATTCTACATTATGATGAGTTATATAACTAGTTCATTGTATATTATGATTAATAATAATAGAAGTACACAATAAATGCAATGTTCTTGAATCATTTTGGAAACATCCCCCCACCTCAGATTTATGGAAAAATTATCCTCCATAGAACCACTGACTGGTGCCAACATGGTTGGGGACAGCTGGGTTAACAGATGTGAGACCCTTTTGCTTTGTCTTGGATTAATCTGCAGATATACATTGTGTTAAAGACATCTGATGGTGACATCTTTCCCTGTAAATCATTTTAGGGATACTTGCAGTATTTCGTGAAAATTAAAATGTTTTCTAGTGAATTTATAAACTTGTTTATTTGTAAATAGTATGTTCTTTTTAATTAGTTAATTTGAAATGATCTGTCCTAATTAAGAAGTTCCTATGACTGTGTGAAAAAGAGGTAATTTTCAACTTGTAACTTTACTGAATAATTTCTAATATCCTTTCCCATAACATTTATCGGAGTTACTAGTAACAAAAACTCACCAATTAGCAAGATGTTCTTTCCTCTCTACCTTTCAAGTATTTATCCCTTGGGAGAGATTGAAGGAATAAATTAAAAGCATGAAAACTAGAAAGAAAAAATAGTCAAAAACACAGAGATTTTACTTGAATAATAAACCTATACAGGAAGGGCTAGATCACAAAATAAACTTTTTTATTTTCTAACAAAACAACTTTTACTATAACTGTATTTAACTGTAGATTGGCCTTAAAACAAGAAGAAGAGAAGACAAGGAATGCAGATATGTTGTACAAAAAAGGTAGAGAGGATTTAAAAAGAAAACAAGAGGAATATGAAAAAGAAGTTGAAATGGACCAACAACGCAAACAGACTTTGCAAACACAAGCCATGGAATTAAGGACAGTAAGAAACAATTTGGATCAGGTATATTAATTTCAGATACAAATTTTATATTTTCAATTTTATGTTTCATCAGTATTACTTATAATATTCCTTTGATTTAATGTGGTATGTTATTTAGATGTAAAACACACCAAAACTGTTATCTAATTTTTAAAATGTGCTATGACATTTATAGTTAGAGTATTTGTAAACCTTGGCATTTCAGTCTGTGATGCTCAGTCTATGTTTTCAGAATGAAGAAATGGGAAATGAGTTTAATTACTGACATTCATGCTCATTTATGGATTTTGATGTTAAAATACAGGCTAAATAGCTTTGAAACTGTAATGAAATGTGTTAAATATTTTGACAGAAATTTTATTATACAGTACTGTATCTTTCTATAGGTAAGAACTGTTTTTCCTCTTAGAGAAATTTGACTGTTATGTATGCAACTAAAATTCTAATGATTCTTGAGGGTTAAAAGTTTTTGTTTAAGAGGCTACTTTCTTCTAACAGTTTTATAAAAGAGGTTCTGCTCTTTTAGACTTTCTTTTTCAGTCCTATTAAACCAAAAATGTACTGTATCTCTGGGTTGTGCAGGAACAAAATATTAACCAGAAGCAACTTTCTGAAGAACAGAATGGTAGAATATTACTAGCTGAGATTCTGACTGATTATCAAAAGCAGATAGAAGTGATTGAAAAGAAAATGAATTCTGAGGAATTTTCTTTGGTCATTTTCAAATATTTTTATATGTGTATATTTGAAAACCCAACCCTGTGTATTTTGGAAAGCATAAAGGATTTTTATATCTCACACACACACATATATATAGACATATATATGTATATATCCTTTATCATGTATCTATATATGTATATATAGAATAAAGCCATGTTCTTAATTCAACTCCATTTGCCTGCAGCAGTCTAGTGGTGACATTCACAATGGCCTCAATCCAAAGGAGAAACATTTGGTATTTTTCATAAGAATTGAAGTTCTTTTTACTATCAAAAATAAGTTTTACTATTAACAACAGATTTTCTAGCTTTTGGACATTATTTCATCTTCTTAGAATATTAATGGAAAGGTCAGTTCATTATTTTCACTCATAGGAAAGCAGGAAATATATAGCTGATTCAGAGGCCATATTGTGGATGTCACTATCCTTACGTTTGAGGAGAATACCAGTTTACTCCATGTAGTTTCTCATTTCAATGCAAAGAGGTTTGGAAACAGTGACATGCCATAATGCACATTTAGTGACAATTTATCGATAAGTATTTTGTTCCCAGAGAAATAGTTCAGTATGTTTTCCTCTGTTTAACATGAATTATTGTTTTAAACATTATAAAGAGGAAATAAAAGTTATTGCAATGGCAAATAATCTCATGAGTTCTAAGAAAAGCTCTATAAGTTGTAATATATTTACCATTCATATTTTGAAATGAAAGACTTATTTTGTATTTATATATTTATACCATAGAAAGAACTATGATTTTGTGGAGTATCACTAGAAGTAGCATCAGAAGACCTGAGGAAAATGCTGCATCTTGCATATTTTTCAACCTTTCCTTTTAAGTATTGTTATCTTACATGAGTTTAGTGTTGTATGCAGAAGTGTGGTGCTTAGATGCAGATGTGTACAATGTAGAAGGGGACAGTGCTTAGATTTAACCATGATGAATAAATGTAATTCTTATGCCTGACTATACAAATACTAGAAAAGTAGAATGTTGATAAAACATTCTTCAGACAAAGGAACTTAAAGAACTTTGAAAAATTGCTTCTATCCACTTATCAGAGTGTAAACGCAACTTAAAATATATAGTCAAATGTGTTAATCTTATATTTTATGCCTCTGGGTTTTTTGTAACTCAGAGAAAGGCTTTTACAATTTTGAGATTCGTAAAAATTCTCTAGTGATTTATTTTTTATAATCTTGAAATAAATATTTAAACTTTTGGGAATTCACACTCTGTTAGGCTTGAAGTTTTGTCCAATGTTTTTTCCAGTTAAATATTCTCTACGGGAATTATTTCATTATACAAATATACAGGTTACTCTTTAATTTCAGAACAAATTATGTCATTCTATTGAGGGCTAACTAAAAGTTCTCTTTGCTTACTTAGATTGCTCTTAGCCAAAAGAAAGACGAGGATCTCTTGCATGAAAATTGCATACTACAAGAAGAACCTGCCGTGCTAAGACTGGAACTGGACATAATAAAACATCAGAACCAGCTAAAGGAAAAGAAATATTTAGAAGACACTGAAAGTGAGAAAGAAAAGAATGACAGTCTTAGAAATGCTATAAAATTGACTGAGGAAGCATTAGCAAAAACAGTGTTTCAGTACAGTGAACAGCTTATCACTTTGACAACTGAGAATAAAATGCTCAGTTCTGAGCTCAAGAATGAAAAACGCCAGAAGGAAAGGCTGGAAATGGAAATATAGTCATCTCATGGTAGACCAGCTGCTACCCTACATGATAGTGACCAAAGTCAGGTAGCAGAAAGAGACCTCTTTCCAGAGAACAAGACATGAACGGGTTTATTTACAGGAAGCAATCAATTCTCATGTGTCTAACCTAAAAGATAACAGTGAGATTCTTTCTGAACGACTCTCTAATGCTGACAGTAAAATTAACAGCCTAAAGATTAAGTGCCATCATACAAGGTAAACTCTGAAAGATAGGGCAGGCCTCAATCTTTTTTGTTTAGGTGACTCATCCATTCCAGCCTGCAGACTTTGGAGTGTACAAACTGACCAGGGGCAGAAGAGATCCCACAGCACAGCACAGCTGCTTTAACAAATCATGGCCAGACTTATTCTGTAAGCAGGCCCCTGATCCTGTTTCTCCTCACTGGACAGGACTTCCCAAATGGGACCTGCAGCTACCTCCAGCAGTGTTCCTCTGCCAACAAGAGATTTGAATCCCCTCCTGGGACAGAGCTCCCAGAGGGGAGAGGGGTTCCATCACCTTTGAGTTTGGGCAATCAGCTGTTCTGGCCTGTGGGCTTTGGAGAGCCCAAGCTGACCAGGGGTGGAAGTGGTACCCCAGTGCAGTAAAGCCACCCTACTAAAACTCGGCCAGTCTTTTTTAAGTCAGTCCCTGACCACATTTCTTGTCACTGGGTGGAGCCTTTCAATCAGGGTCTCCAGCTGCCTTCACTGCTGTTCTCTGGCTGAAAGAGGTTTCAGGCCTCCCTGGGTCAGAGCTCCCAGGGGGAGGACCAGACTGTCATATTTGCTGTTTGGGAAACTCAGCCATTTCAGCCTTAGGGCTTCAGAGTGCCTGAGGCAACCAGGGGCTGAAGGGAACCCCAGCACAGCACAGCTGCTCTGCAAAAATGTGGCCAGACTTCTTTTTTAAGCAAGACCCTGTTCTTGTTCCTTTTGTCTAAGCATGACTTCTCAACTTGTCCAGCCACCTCCTGTAGGTGTGACTAGATTGGCAACAAGTTTGTATCTCAGTGGTACAGAGCTCCCAGAGGAAGGGACAGGCTATCATTTGCCTTTTTGCAGCCTTCATTAGTGATACTCTCAGGTACTGGAAACTCTGAGGCAAGTAGGGACTGTAGTGGACCCCAGCATACTACAGCAGCCCTATGGAAAAGTGGCCAGACTGTTAGGTGGGTGCCAGTTTCCATAGCTCCTTGATGGGCAGGTTCTCCCAGCCTGGATCTCTGTCAACATTCCACTGGAGCTATTAAGGCAGTAGCAACTCAGCAATTCCCTGGACAGAGCTTCCAGGAGCAGCTGAAATCCTCTCTGCCACTGCCTCTGAAGTGGAACTGTCCTTGCTACTCTCAGAATATCAATGGAGCAAAGACCCTAAGTGCCATATTGACACCTCCAAGAAGCTGCAGTTGACTTAAGGAGCAAGCCATTCCCTCTCCCATGGGTACTATACACATGATCATCAGGGAACTATGGCTTGAGCCCACATCCTGGGCTGATTGCACTAAGTAATTGCTAACACGCATCTCTCTGCGGTAGAGCCCACAGGAAACAAGCAAAGTGGTGAAGCAGCAGTCCAGCTGATGTGGAGCCCTCTGGGGAGGGCAGGGACAGCTATCTCTCTAAGATTGCTCTTATGAATCACTTTACCCCAGCACTGTAGGAGTGCTGAGGTCAGACTGGCCACATCTCATGTGCAAGACTGCCCAGCATAGATCAGGTCTGAGAGTTTCCCTCTTAAAAAGGGGGACTTATTTGAAAAAGGAGTCTGGCCATGTCTTTGTAGAGCAGCTGTGCTGTGCTGCGGCTTCACTCTTGAGAGACTTTTCCTCTCAGACCTGATCTATGCTGGGCAGTCTTGCACATGAGATGGGGCTGGTCTGACCTCAGCACTCCTTAGTCTGCTTGCCTCTCCCAGGGCCCCAGCCTGGTGACACCTGCTTATACCATAGCTTCTGTGCCAGTGGACAATGCCTGACCAGCGGAGAGCTGTAGCAAGGTGGCCCACACAGGCATACACCAGTTTGCACATTGCCTCTCCATACTGCAGCTCTTAATACGGAAACTTACTACATCACTTTGTTGGTGTGTGTTTACACGGGGCTTTTTTCATACAAGATTTTTCTACACTTGCCCTACCAGCACAGAGGAGTGCAACACACATGCCAGCCCATGCCAACTGCTATTGAAGATGGAGCCATGGCAGGCACAGAGCCAAAAATCTCCACCTCCTCCAGCACCTCACCCTTAAGGTAATACTGTACAGAGAAAAAGGGACCCTCTTACATCCCGAGCAACCACTGTTGCTTGGGGGCTCACAGAAGGCACCCCACCCCAAACCAATAGAACTCCAGTACAACAGCACACAATAGGGGCACCCTGGCCCTCATCTGAGCTGTCTTGCCTCCACCACGGTGAACACCCACAGGGTTACAGGCACTCTCCTGCAGGTCCAGCACTTTGGTCCCTCAGTACAGTGGACTCCAAACCTGGAGGAGCCAGAAAACAAAGTTGGGGCCCAATACAATTTCCTCAGAGTTAAAGCACATAGTCTAGGAATTGGTAGCTGAACATCAGCCCCCTAAAATCTTCCAGAAGCAAAGCTGAATACACCTTACACCCCAATCATACTGTCAGGGTCATGAAATACAATAAAATAAAAATACCCTGTCTAAAGGTCAGCATCCTCAAAGGTTGAAGGTTGATAAGCCCATAAAAATAAGAAAGAATCTGTACAAGAGCACTGAAAACTCAAAAATTCAGTATGCCTTCTTTCCTCCAAATGATTGCACTCTCTGGCAAGTGTTCAGAACTGGGCTGAGGCTGAGATGTCTGAAATGATACAAGTAGAATTCAGAATATGGGTAGAAACAAAGTTTGCTGAGTGAAAGAAGTACATTGTAATCCAATGCAAGGAAGCTAAACATCATTGTAAAACATTGCAGGAGGTAACAGACAAAAGAGCCAGTATAAAGAACATATCTGACCTGATAGAGCTGAGAAGCACAGTACAAGACTTTTCATAATACAGTACATGGTGATTGGGTGTGACTGTATTATGAAAATTCTTGTAGTGTGTGTGGGCACCCGAGAGTGCCCTGTAAGCAGGTGTGGCCAGGCTGGGGCCCTGGGAGAGGCAAGCAGACTAAGGAGTGCTGAAATCAGACCAGCCCCATCTCATGTGCAAGACCACCTAGCAGAATAAACCAAGCAGAGGAGAGAATCTCAGAAGTTGAAAACTGGCATTCAGAAATAAAACATGCAGACAAGAATGGGGGGAAAAGAATGGAAAGGAATAAACAAAACCTCTGAGAAATATGGGATTATGTAAAGAGATCAAATCTATGACTGATTCATATACCAGAAAGAGGTGAGAATGGAACCAACTTGGAAAACGTATTTCAGAATATCATTAGAATATCCCCAAGTGAGCCAGACAAGCCAACATTCAAATTCAGGGAATCCGGAGAACCTCAGTAAGATATGCCACGAGAAGATCATCTCCAAGACACATAATCATTAGATTCTCCGAGGTCAAAAATGAAAGAAAAAATGTTAAAAGTCAGCTATGGAGAAAGGTGAGGTTACCTCCAAAGGGAAACCCATCAGACTAACAGCGGACTTCTCAGCTGGAACCCTGAAAGCCAGAAGAGATTGTGAGGCTCAATATTCAACTTCTTAAAAGAAATTTCAACCCAGAGTTTTATATGTAGTTAAGCTAAGCTTCATAAATGAAGGAGAAATAAGATTCTTTTCAGAGAAGCAAATGCTGAGGGAATTCATTACCACCTGCCTCACAAGAGCTCCTGAAGGAAGCACTGTGGATAGAAAAAACCATCACCAGCCACTACAAAAACGCACTGAAGTACACAGACCAGTGATGCTAAAAACCAGCCACACACACAGGTCTGCAAAATAAGCAGCCACAGAATGGATCAAATCCACATACATCATTACTAACCTTAAATGTAAATGGGCTAAATGCTCCAATTGAAAGACACAGAAGGGCAAGCTGGATAAAGAACCATGACTTATTCCAGTATGCTATCTTTAAGACACCCATCACACATGCAGTGCCACACATAGGCTCAATATAAAAGAATGGAGAAAAATCATTTAAGCAAATGGAAAACAGAAAAAAGCAGGTGTTGCAATCCTAGTTTCTGACAAAACAGATTTTATACCAATAAAGATTTTTTTTAAAACTTTTTTATTGGATTTTAGGTTTTGGGGTACATGAGCAGAGCATGCAAGACAGTTGCGTAGGCACACACATGGCAGTGTGCTTTGCTTTCCTTTTCCCCTTCACCCACATTTGGTATTTCTCCCCAGGCCATCCCTCCCCACCTCCCCCTCCCACTGGCCCTCCCCTTTTCCCCCTAATAGACCCCAGTGTTTAGTACTCCCCTTTCTGTGTCCATGTGTTCTCATTTTTCATCACCCGCCTATGAGTGAGAATATGCGGTGTTTCATTTTCTGTTCTTGTGTCAGTTTGCTGAGGATGATGTTCTCCAGATTCATCCATGTCCCTACAAACGACACAAACTCATCATTTCTGATTGCTGCATAATATTTCATGGTGTATATGTGCCACATTTTTCCAATCCAGTCTATTATCAATGGGCATTTGGGTTGATCCCAGGTCTTTGCTATTGTAAACAGTGCTGCAATGAACATTCGTGTACATGTGTCCTTATAGTAGAACGATTTATAGTCTTTTGGATATATACCCAGTAATGGGATTGCTGGGTCAAATGGAATTTCTATTTCTAAGGCCTTGAGGAATCGCACCAATAAAGATTTAAAAAGGAAGAGAGAAATATTACAAAGGCGGCCCTGGCCTTTGATAAATATCAATATTGCTTAATATTAACCTAGGCTATCTTCATTTCTCAAACCAATAGGAAAATTTGTGGAAGTTGGGGAGCTTCTCCCCTCTAGAGAGTCCCTGATCTCCCAAAATTTGGTTGAAATCTAAGGTTGATTTTGCTGTACAACTCCTTTTCTGAAGGGTTACTCGCTTCCAACACAAAAGGCAAGTTTTCCTGCTTCCATGATGGTGGAGAGCAGGCACCTCCTTTCTTGAGTTTCAACTTGCTTCTGACAAGGAAGGTGAGTTTGAGTTTTTTCCTACTTCTCTAAAATGGTAGCGAGTGATCATCAGCCTGAGCATTATTTCCAGGTAAGTAGTTGAATTAGAGTTTTGTCTTAAAAATGTTCCTTAATGACTAAAAGTTAAGATTACCAATCAGCTGTTTTTAACTTCTCCTTACCATCAGAACACTCAGTAATCATGTGAATTGCGCAGTTGTTTCTTTTGCCTGTCTGTTTTTGTTTGTTTATGTTTGGGGTTTTGTTGTTGTCGTTTCAGTTTTCTCCTGTGAGGTATGACCATCTCTTTCTGACTTAGTCAAATCCAAATGAATGTTCCAAATTGTGGGAAAAAAGGCATCTGAATTGGCTAAAACTCCTGTAGCTCTAAAAAAAAAAAAAAATCCAGTTAGCAGAAAGGATTTTAAAAAACTTTTCTATTTAAGCCTAAGAGGTTTTGTCTACCTAACAAGGCCATCTTTTGCTAGCCAAGGCCAAACTGAAGGAGCAGTAGTGGCCACCCAATGCTAACATTCTGCACTGTTCACCACAGCAAACTGAGTTTGGTTCCTATGTCTAGTTCTTTTTTGTTTGGTATTTGTGTTACTTTTAAAATAGCAGTTTATCCCAACTATGATGTGGTAGTAAGATATTTAAAAATATTTTTAAGAGCTCTATCTATGATTAAAAGCTTAATTAAAAGCAAATTTATAATATATGTCATTATATTTAAATGTAATTACATATATATTAGAAAGATGTAAATATATATAACATGAACATATATACATATGTATGTTTGGAATATATGTTCATATATTTCTAATATGTGTGTCTGTGTGTGTGTGTGTGTGTGTGTGTATGTGTGTGTGTGAGTTTGAATCTAAAAGATCTTTCTCTCTTTGGATCTTGTTTTTTGAAAATATTTTTCTTCTCAGTCAACTGAATTGTCTCTCTCCATTTTACTTTTGTCTGTCCTTTTTTTCTCTTGCCACCCTTGATGCCCACATAACAGATCTAAAATAACTTCTAATAACTGGGGATTACTTACAACAGAAAAGCCACCAGGGATGTTTTCAGGAGGAACCACTATTTTTGTTTAACAAATCCCAAGAGTTGTAAACAGGCAAGTTTTTTGCAAATCTTAAACTGCACACCTTTTAAATTTCATTACTGGATCTTAATGGCTTTTTTGGGTGTCAAAAATGACTTTGCACAATGAGAAATTTTTTGACCTTTGTGTATGTAATAGCTAGGTAGGAGATATAAATTTTAGGGCTGGTTATCGGAAGAGATATTTATAAGCTTTGGCCACCTGAAAGGTGTGGAAACATCCCAAACCCCCACTGAATAGTGAGATTGCTATGAGATAAGAGCTGATAATTGAATGTGCTATTTGGCTTTTGCTGGCCACCAACCTGAGGGGAAATGTATTTGTAGTGAAATGCATGGTAAGAACGTGGCATAGTCTGATCCCATAATGTTTTCCTTTTTTTGAGGGCCTGAGGATTTTATATAAAAGTGAAACCCTTGACTTTTTGAGATCTGTTCTGCCTTACAGCTGTGCCTGCATGTTAGGCCCTAGAAGCTGCATGCTTCCTTAGCTCTGTTCCTTAAAATGTTCCACCATTAAGCCAGTAAGTCAATTTATAAAACTCTTTAGGAAAATCACAATTAACAGTGTCTGCTTTCCCTGGCCATGTTAACTGAACTTTTAGAGCATTTTTTTTTTTTTTGGCTTGAGTAAAATGTAATTCCTTCATCTTGTTTCACCTAAGAGTTGTCCCTTTAAAAATGCAAATTTGGAGTTTCCTCACTGATAATTGTTTACAGCAGGAAACAAATAATCAAATGACTAATGGTCTAAAGTGGAGAAGAAAAACTGGCAAATGAAAAATCTTACGAATCCCAAAGATCTACTTCTGTGTGTCCATATGTCTAAGTATTTATATGACATATGTATATAATGTTTCAGTACCAACAATATGACAGGTTCTAATTTGGCTTTCAAAAAAAGTTGTTAAATGTTTTTTCAGAGAGTTGGAAACTTATTCCTGAATACTTTCTCAAGTTCACATGACAAGTAGACTTTTAACCAATCTGTTGGCTTTAAACTGATGGGTTAAAAATAAATTCAAAATGTCTTTACAATTGTCAGCATACATTATTATTTAGATGTATTAGTCAACTGTTTTTTTTTTCTTTCTTCATTTTTTAAATGTTCTGGTCAAGTAGTTTTATATTTATCTCTGCTAGCTACTATAAAATGTCAAAGTTTGGCACAAGGGTTATAAACTACCCACCCAAAACAATGATTTTTCTTCATGTGATTTTTGATAAATAAGATACTTGATATTGTTGATTTAATAAAAACATCTCAATCCAGAGTCATCAGTTAAAAAAAAACTATTAAAAATAAATTAGGTAATTGTAATGAACTTTTCATATAAGTTATATCTTAAAGTTGTATTAAATAATATTAAGTGTCTGGGTCATTATCAATTGTTAAATTATTAGAAACATCTTAAAATAATTATAAGAGGATTCTCACCTATAAAATGCTGATGTGACAAAGATTTTCTACTTCCTAGGTTATCACAAAAAGTTTATTACTAAAATCAAAATTTTGGTTAATATGTGATTTTCATATACATTGTGACAAAATAAGAAGTATTCTAATGAAAAAAGAAAAATTTTAAGAAATATGAAATAAAGAAATGATAAGAAATAAAATGAAAATAATTGTTGTCCAATTCAAGAATTATTTAAATATTTTTTTATGAAGCAAGGTAAAGGTAACCAGAAAGTAAGAGAGGGATTTAAAGAAAGTTAAGTTACAAAGAAGAGTTTTTGGTAAGAAAGATTAAAAAGAAAATAATTTTGTGTAAGAAACAATACTGTATGATTGATTTTTATCCTAAAATGAAATGGCTGGTTATTTAAGAAAAAGATTATGTTTAGTTTGAAACGTTATAATTGGTAAGTCCACGCATGTTACAATTGGTCTGTGTAATAATAAGCTTCATTAAAAAGATAACTTGTTTTAAAATTTTGTATGCGATTTGGTTGGCTGCATTGGAAAGGAAATTATTCATAATAGCCTTTTGAAATAATTGGGCTTTGATTTTTAAAGTACAAGAAAACAAAACCAAAAATTGGTTAGAACAAGAATTTTTCTTTTTGAGACAGACTCTCGCACTATTGCCCAGGCTTTTGTCCAGTGGCATGATCTTGACTGACTGCAATCTCCACTTCCTGGGTTCAAGCAATTCTTCTGCCTCAGCCTCCCAAGTAGCTGCGACTACAGGCATGTGCTGCCATGCCCAGCGAATTTTTTTTGTATTTTTATTAGAGAGACGAGGTTTCATTATGTTGGCCAGGATGGTCTCAATTTCCTGACCTCAGGATCTGCCTGCCTCAGCCTTTCAAAGAGCTGGGATTATAGACATGAGCCAACACACCCAGCCAAACCAGATTTTTAAAGCATTGATTTAATGAAATTGTACAATTTTTAAAATTATAATTTTATAATTTTTTCTAAATAGTTTATCAGATTAATATCTCAAAAGTTCAGTTTCTACTGTACACACTGCTTTTAGCTTACTCAGCTTTCTCTCCCTTTGAAAAAGCCTGGCTCTTCAACTTTTGTTGGCTCCAGCAGCAGTTTTCTTCCTTCTTCTAATTCTAAATCTGTTGTTATGTCCTGATGATAACATGTTTTATATTTAAAGGTTGTTCGTTTGTTTTTGAAGGCAATGTTTTTTCCCAGTATAACTTAATTCCTCTGAAGGTTTGCTTAAATTCAACTTTCAAAAGACCAATTGACTAAAGAGAGGGCATGCATATTTGTTTGGGATTTATACATGAGAGTTTTCAAAATAAAGGCCCAGTGTACATGAGAAATTATCTATTTTTCATTGCTTATGTTGAACAAAGTATGAGCAGCCATGTAAAGAAGTGTGTTTGAAAAAAAAGGATATAATGTAGTTCTTTTTTATTATTATTATTATTTTTTTAATTTTTTATTGGATTATAGGTTTTGGGGTACATGAGCAGAGCATGCAAGACAGTTGCGTAGGTACACACATGGCAGTGTGCTTTGCTTTTCTTCTCCCCTTCACCCACATTTGGCATTTCTCCCCAGGCTATCCCTCCCCACCTCCCCCTCCCACTGGCCCTCCCCTTTTCCCCCCAATAGACCCCACTGTTTAGTACTCCCCTTTCTGTGTCCATGTGTTCTCATTTTTCATCACCCACCTATGAGTGAGAATATGCGGTGTTTCATTTTCTGTTCTTCCGTCAGTTTGCTGAGGATGATGTTCTCCAGATTCATCCATGTCCCTACAAACGACACAACTCATCATTTCTGATTGCTGCATAATATTCCATGGTGTATATGTGCCACATTTTCCCAATCCAGTCTATTATCAATGGGCATTTGGGTTGATTCCAGGTCTTTGCTATTGTAAACAGTGCTGCAATGAACATTCGTGTACATGTGTCCTTATAGTAGAACGATTTATAGTCTTTTGGATATATACCCAGTAATGGGATTGCTGGGTCAAATGGAATTTCTATTTCTAAGGCCTTGAGGAATCGCCACACCGTCTTCCACAATGGTTGAACTAATTTACACTCCCACCAACATTGTAAAAGTGTTCCTTTTTCTCCACATCCTCTCCAGCATCTGTTGTCTCCAGATTTTTTAATGATCGCCATTCTAACTGGTGTGAGATGGTATCTCAATGTGGTTTTGATTTGCATCTCTCTGATGACCAGTGACGATGAGCATTTTTTCATATGATTGTTGGCCTCATATATGTCTTCTTTCGTAAAGTGTCTGTTCATATCCTTTGCCCACTTTTGAATGGGCTTGTTTGTTTTTTTCCTGTAAATCCGTTTGAGTTCTTTGTCAATCCTGGATATCAGCCCTTTCTCAGATGGGTAGACTGCGAAAATTTTTTCCCATTCTGTTGGTTGCCGATCCACTCTAGTGACTGTTTCTTTTGCCGTGCAGAAGCTGTGGAGTTTGATTAGGTCCCATTTGTCTATTTTGGCTTTTGTTGCCAATGCTTCTGGTGTTTTGTTCATGAAGTCCTTGCCTACTCCTATGTCCTGGATAGTTTTGCCTAGATTTCCTTCTAGGGTTTTTATGGTGCCAGGTCTTATGTTTAAGTCTTTAATCCATCTGAAGTTAATTTTAGTGTAAGGTGTCAGGAAGGGGTCCAGTTTCTGCTTTCTGCACATGGCTAGCCAGTTTTCCCAACACCATTTGTTAAACATGGAATCCTTTCCCCATTGCTTGTTTTTGTCGGGTTTATCAAAGATTGTATAGTTGTATGTATGTTGTGTTGCCTCCGTTGCCTCTGTTTTGTTCCATTGGTCTATATCTCTGTTTTGGTACCAGTACCATGATGTTTTGATTACTGTAGCCTTGTAGCATAGTTTGAAATCCAGTAGTGTGATGCCCCCCGCTGTGTTCTTTTTGCTTAGAATTGACTTGGCTATGTGGGCTCTCTTTTGGTTCCATATGAAGTTCATGGTGGTTTTTTCCAGTTCTGTGAAGAAAGTCAGTGGTAGCTTGATGGGGATAGCATTGACTCTGTAAATTACTTTGGGCAGTATAGCCATTTTCACGATATTAATTCTTCCTAACCATGAACATGGAATGTTTCTCCATCTGTTTGTGTCCTCTCTGATTTCATTGAGCAGTGGATTGTAGTTCTCCTTGAAGAGGTCTCTTACGTTCCTTGTGAGTTGTATTCCAAGGTATTTTATTCTTTTTGTAGCAACTGCGAATGGCAGTTCGTTCTTGATTTGGCTTTCTTTAAGTCTGTTATTGGTGTAGACGAATGCTTGTGATTTTTGCACATTGATTTTATATCCTGAGACTTTGCTGAAGTTGCTTATCAGTTTCAGGAGTTTTTGGGCTGAGGCGATGGGGTCTTATAGGTATACTATCATGTCGTCTGCAAATAGAGACAATTTAGCTTCCACCTTTCCTATTTGAATACCCGTTATTTCTTTTTCTTGCCTGATTGCTCTGGCTAGAACTTCCAGTACTATATTGAATAGGAGTGGTGAGAGAGGGCATCCTTGTCTAGTACCAGATTTCAAAGGGAATGCTTCCAGTTTTTGCCCATTCAGTTTGATATTGGCTGTTGGTTTGTCATAGATAGCTTTTATTACTTTGAGATACGTGCCATCGATACCGAGTTTATTGAGGGTTTTTAGCATAAAGGGCTGTTGAATTTTGTCAAATGCCTTCTCTGCGTCAATTGAGATAATCATGTGGTTTTTGTTTTTGGTTCTGTTTATGTGGTGAATGACGTTGATAGACTTGCGTATGTTGAACCAGCCTTGCATCCCCGGTATGAATCCTACTTGATCATGATGAATAAGTTTTTTGATTTGCTGTTGCAATCGGCTTGCCAATATTTTATTGAAGATTTTTGCATCTATGTTCATCATGGATATTGGCCTGAAGTTTTCTTTTCTCGTTGGGTCTCTGCCGGGTTTTGGTATCAGAATGATGTTGGTCTCATAAAATGATTTGGGAAGGATTCCCTCTTTTTGGATTGTTTGAAATAGTTTTAGAAGGAATGGTACCAGCTCCTCCTTGTGTGTCTGGTAGAATTCGACTGTGAACACTTCTGGACCTGGGCTTTTTTTGAGTGGTAGGCTCTTAATTGCTGCCTCAACTTCAGACCTTGTAATTGGTCTATTCATACTTTCAGCTTCCTCCTGGTTTAGGCTTGGGAGGACACAGGAGTCCAGGAATTTATCCATTTCTTCCAGGTTTACTAGTTTA